AATCCATTATTTTTAATATGATCTAAATATGTGATAACATTCTAAGAATTAATGTGTTAATTTTTTTCTTCTCCCTTACACTTTCACGTTATAACATATGTATTGCATTAAGAATGCTTTCATTATTGTCTGAACTTAACCATTTAAATTGACATATTTAAATCCAACATCAGTAAAATCAAAACTTGTGAAAATTCTTGATTAACTAGGACAGTGGGGAAGAATGATACCAAAGAGGTTTAATAAAGCTAAAATTTTCAGTGAATTTTAAAGCACTTCACTTGTCTTTTTAGGCTGCTTAAATACGCTTTCTCAGATAGCTTCTGTTTTGGAAAATAATAACAAAATCCCAAAAATTCCCAATGGCTGTTAGTCTCCCTATCACTGGAATTCAACTGTGTTTAACAGCTTCTAATTTGTATAAATCACACCTAGCAGCTAATAGAATTGTTTGAAATTCTCATCAAAGTAGTCAGCAAAGGCCAGGTGCAGCAGCTCATGCCTGTAATCCTACCACTCCGGGATGCCAAGGCAGGATTGCTTGAGCTCAGGAGTTCCAGACCAACCTGAGCAAGAGGAGACCTTGTCTCTGCTAAAAATAGAAAAATTTGCCAGGCCTCTTGGTTTGGCCAGCAGTCCCAGCTACTTGAGAGGCTGAGGTAGGAGGATCCCTTAAGCCCAGGACTTTGAGGTTGCAGTGAGCTACGATGACGCCACTGCACTCTAGCTGAGGCGACAGAGCGAGACTGTGTCTCAAAGGAAAAGAAAAAGTAGTCAGTAAAGGAATGATCTTTAAAAATGCTGTTCAATCACTGGGAGGCAACATGGCATCTTGGAATGATGGAGACAGCCCTTGTGTTGATATAGTGCCTCAATCACTTACTAGATGTCGGGGAAAATTTGCTTAACCTATGAGAGATAAGTAATTTTTATCCCACATACTTGATGTGAGATTGGGAGGTAAAAAAACATGACAATTAGTTCTTTTTTTTCTTTTCCCTTTTCTCCATGAGTAACAATCTGTTTTAGTCTAGATCATTTGCTCAGGCTAAGCTTACAGATCCCATCACTGTTACTTAACATTATAAAGTTTCTTAGTTCCACAGAGACAGTCTTGTTAACTTCAACCATCAGTATATATGTTACATGTTACGAAATGGGACTGATGAGCTTCTGGAATGTTTGCTGCCTACATCATAATGGGAGGGGTATGGAGTCTCTTAAAATGGATGCCATAAGGAAAGTAAGTGCAATTCAACTGAATCCAAATGTCTATTGAGCATTTCCTCAGCTCAGTCCAAGAAGGCACTGTTAACCACATATTAGAGCATCCAAGAAATAAAAAATGCATTTGTTGTAGTAGAAAACAGATGAAATAAAGCTGAATCCATTTCAAATAAAAGGTTTTCAGAAAACAATAGCAATTCCAGAAAAATCTGTCTTGCTGGGTTTTTCCTAAATAATGTTCTGATTAAATCATCAAATTTACTCAAAATTACCGAGTACAAAAAGTGAAAGTTGACATGAGATTCTGAATACATTTCCCACACAGAAGTAAGCTGCAGTATGTTTTAGCAAATCTGTATGTCGTAGTTATGTGTCGTAGTGCTGTGTATTCTTAAATCATGCAAAACTAATTTTACAGATGAAGCTGAAGCTTGATAACTTCGTCAGTGCCACCTGAAGAGGCGAGAGACAGGAGGAAAAGTCACTTTAGATGTCTGCTGTAATTCATCCCCATTCATAGAGATCTCGGTAGGACAGGGACGTCAGCTTCGGCAGCTAAAATCTGGTGACTGCAGCAGCATTCATCACAGACAGTATCTCTGTATAAGTTTACCAGGTATCTATTTCGTTCTAGAAGGCGATTCTTAAACCTAAAAAGCAAAGAGGAGAAATCGCTTCCTCCTGCTTGGCGCCAAGGGAGAAAGCAGGAGAGCGAGCACTGACGGTGTTTAAGAAAAACCAGGCCTATGTCCTAGAGACCAGTTCTATGTGGCAAAAGCTTCGAAAAATAGAGAAGGGAAGAAAACAGAATAAGGAAACTCAGATTCGTGAAAATTTACCTTTCAGAGCCAGCAGGTGCTCCTGTTTGGGGGGATTCACTTCCATTTTCACCAGCACTTTTGACCCACTGCCTTACGGGGGCTGAAGAGGTTCAACCCGGCCCGGAAGGAAACAGAACAGCGCGCGTTTGGGAAGACCGGGCGTCAAACTCACTCTGAACAGCTTCCCTCTGTCGGTGGGACCTTAAATTCTCTTCTTACCACGTCCTTTACAGACGCAATGTCTTCTTTTCACCAAATCCAACCCTTGTCTCTTAGAGATCTTTACATAAAGTACTGTGTTTTCCATCTACAATTACACACTGCGACTTCAGGAAACCACTACTTAGTAACAACGTACAGCCTCACAAATGCAGGATTGAAAAAAAAAAAAAAAGAGGCGAGAGAGTGGCATGCTGGGATTTGGAGTTTACACAAAAATCGCATTGCATGCAGGGAGATGTAGTCCCCGCCCCCATCAATCCCACTCCCTTTCCCAGCTGGTTTACAATTGAAAAGGAGAAATCATTATAGGAGAGGGAGTTTCACCCCAAAACTTTGATTCTGTTTAATCTCTTCTCTTTTCACTGAGGACCTTCCATCAATTGCAGACTCGATTAAAAATAACAAAGTGCCCATGCGCAAGGCCAGTGACTGACGGGAGGAGGCGCGAAGAGGTCGGCAGAGCAGGGCGGTGCGCCGCACTGCGCCTGTGCGCCAGCGGCGTGCGCCTAGGCCTCTGGGTAGGTGGCTCAACCCCTCCTCTCAGTTGAAGGCTCTGACCGCTGCATCGCGGCGCTGCTCTCCCAGGATGGCTACCCTTATTGTAAACAAGCCAGGAACAGGACTAGACAGTGGCCGGCAGGGCAGCCGGGGGACGGCTGTGGTGAAGGTGAGGGACCTTGCGTGCTCTGTTCTCCACCATCGGCGTACCTTCGGTTCATCCTGGAGACCTGGCGGCTTCGCCGCGGCCCAGGCTTTGATGGGCAAGGATGCGCGGCCTCTAGGCTTCTTTTGGCTTTACAAGTCTTGTCCTCCGCTCCGCGACCCTTATGCCGGCTAGCCTGAAGTTTCTCGGTCTGCTCATGCCAGATGTCAACATCGACAGCTGGGACATTAGTCAAAAGCAGCTTATGGGCGTGCACGGTGTGTAGCAGAGCCCAGAATTGACAGGCCTTGAAGTCTTTTTCACTGTTGCACTACTTCTATAATCAGACATCAGTTATTGGTTGAGCTGGCCTCTTCCCTCTTGGTACAGTCTACCACAGGGATGGGGAACCTTTTCATGTTGAAAGGCTGCATTAATTTAGCTGTAATCAAATAAGGCCACCTTCAAGAAACTTCAATTAGATATACTTAAAAATGTACATTATTTTGTAAAAATCTATGTACTTAATAATTTTAAAAAATGAAAACTATTTGTTAATTTTAAAGTTAACCAACTTTGTTAACAACTTTGTTGTGTCTGCTTTTTGTTGAAAAGCATTTGAATATTTGGTTGCATCATGGAGGTGCGCAGTTTCAGTTGATCCTCTAGATCAGCGGTCCCCAAACTTTTTGGCACCAGCAACTGGTTTCATGGAAGACAATTTTTCCATGGAGGGGGAAGGGAGGAGAAGGTGGAGCTCAGAGGGTGATGCGAGCGATGGGAAGCTGCTGTAAATATAGATGAAGCTTCCCTTGCTGGCCTGCTGCTCACCTCCTGCTGTGCCACCGGGTTCCCGTTTCATAGAAGACAATTTTTCCCCCGTGAAGGGCGAGGGGTAGGGGCGGAGCTCAGGCGGTGATGCACCTTGGGTTCTTAACAGGCCAACAATAGGTACCCAGCCACAGCCCAGGGACTGGGGACCACTGCTGTAGAGGGGTATCACTCATTTGTGACCTTAAGAGCATCTTGATTTGGGTTAGGTAGGAGAATGTAGATTCACAGCAATAAGTGGTTGAAAAGCAAGAAAGCATTTTGGGGGCATGTTGCCAAAGGTGTGGGTATTCTATTGCATTTTTCCATATTTCATTCGGATCTTTCTTAACATCAAACGATGACTTTAAAATGTCATCTACTGAGAGCTCAATCAATTCCATCTGTAGATACTTAGGTGTCTTGGTGATATCAACTATGTGAGGCTGAAATGCTAATTTGAATGTGATGTCATGATTCTCAAAGTGAATGAAGCTTTCATTGTATTCTCCAATTAATAGCTCTATAACAGCTGTGTATTCTTCAAATGATTTGCATATGTCGTCCTGTTCATCAATGGCCTTTGCTAACTGGGGAAGATGTTCATCTGAAATTTCCTTTTGAAGCAGTGTTTTGAAAAAAGATAACTTCTTTCAAACATTGTTGATTCTGTTCTTCATAAAATTTATCTGTTCTCACAGAGATAAAATATTGAGATAGCCAACTCACTTTACAATGATAGGGCAAATCCACACTGAATACCTCATGGTTTAACTTTAGCATGTTATGAACCTGATGCCATGTGGCATTTACATGAATATATTAATAGTTAATAATACTTACAACTTTTTGCAAAGTGTCCCTTAAAATAGTAGCTTCAGCATAGAGATTTTGCTGATGCAAGATACAATGAAAAGAAATTAGAGCATCTGGATCTGTTAGCACCTTTTTTATCTGTGTAATATACCTTTCATGTTTTCCTGTCATGGAAGGTCCACCATCTGTGCATACACTCACTAAGTTTACCAAATTCAGTCCAACTTCATGACATTTATCTTGAAAGTTGTTGAAGATATCTAATCCTTGTGTTCTGTTTGCAAGAATGCCCAAAGTGATTAACTCTTTGTAGCAAAGAAAATCTTCTGTTATGACCCAAATAAAGTATAAATCTGCGCTGAGTAAGTAGTATTAGTTGATTCATCGAAAGTGATTGAATAATACAGATTTTCCTTTTGAAGTATCACATGAAGTCCTGTTAAGTTGAAGGCTAATTCATGCTGCCAATAAGTATGGTTCTCCTTGAAAGAGGCAGTTGTTTGAAACGTTTTCAGTGTCTAAGCATTCTACAACTTCAACAATGCATTCTTTCACAATTTCTGCATCACTGAATGGCTTCCTTTTTTCCTAAGTATATAAGCTACTTTATAAGTTGCTTCAGTGGCATTATTTCCAGGTCTTATTGTTGCTTGAAAGAGTTGTCTTTGCTTTTGCTTTTCATCTTTTAATTTCCGCAGTGCAACCTTTTGTGCCTCTTCCTCTGATTTAAAATATTTGTGGTCCTTTTGAGTGTTATAGTGCTGATGAACATTGAATTTCTTTAATGTTGATATTGCAGTATCACAAAGCAAGCAAGAAACAAGATAGTAATGCAATTCCCAATCCTCATTAAAAAATCTGTTTTCTTCCTTAAGCATTCTCTTGGTGTTCTTTGACATGGTGGGCTGTTAAGCAGACAGAATTCAAAAATACTGTTGAGCTGTGCAACTATTCACAAGTCCACTTCATACAGCAACACAGTGCATGGTTGTCAAAAGCTGATGACAAAAAAAAAAATTAAAAAAAAAAAAAGCTGATGACAGACTGGCGTACTCTACCTCCAAAGCTCTTGCCAACCACCCTTGTGCAGTAGTGGCGCCAGTCAGGTGGGGTACATTAGAAGTAAATCATAAACATAGCAACCATCAATTTAGCCCTTATGGCTTACTAAAGTTCTAATTGCGCTGGTCAATCTGGGAGGATTATTTTGTTGAAACTTATTCTTTGGTATTTTAAATATGTTAATTTTAAAAATAAAAAATATAAAAGAGTGAAAATGTATTAATAAAAATAAAAAGATTTATTCTGTACAATTTGGATTCAGTCTAACAGCCGCACTTAAGGACTTAGAAGACCACATGTGGCCTTAAGGCCTCAGTTTCCCCACCCCTGGTCTGTCAGCACTTTTCAGAAGTCTCCAACTGCAGCATAGCTGGGCATTAACGCTAAGGTTTATGAATTGCCTTATGCTTGAACTTTGAGATTCTAACATGTATAAATACTGAAAAGTACATTTATGAAAAGACCAATTGAAATATGTGGAACTCATTTTCCCCCTCTACTGTATGTATGGAAAGATCTGGAAAGGAGAACTGACCTTAGTGGTTTATAGAGTAACCTTCAGGATCATCTGGAATCGAAGAGATTTGGTAATTCTCATTTCTGGTTACACATTAGGACCATTGAAGACTTTCAAAACACTACTGATGCAGTCTTTCCCCAATTCTGATTAGGTTGACATCAGCATATTTTTAAAATTCTTAGAAGTGATTTTAATTTGCAACCAGGATTGAGAACCACTGAACCTGATAATATCTGAAGTTCTTTTAACATCTTGAATAATAGGGACCTATGATTTTTCACTTAATGTTGGTTTTATATGACTGCAAATGAAATATTTCTTCCAGCAACTTAGTGTCAGTCAATGTTGGTGGTGGTTGATTCAGTTGACCTTTAAATATTAATGCATTTATTCTGAAGGTACATAGCATATCAGATGCAGAGGAGCCATCATTATTGGGCATGTTGTATGGTTGAGATTTTATTTATTGAATTGTGCTTTTGCTAAGTAGAGAATATCTGCAGAGTATTTTGTGAATTAACTTGAAGTTTAAGTTGTTTTATTTCATAATTGGAATGATTTTCATTTTGGTTTCTGTTTTGGATACCTCATTTGCCTTGTAATCTCAGATGTGTACCAAAGCCTGATGTAACTCCAGTTTGTTACAGGACAGAATTTGATATATTAGAGTCTTACCTTGTTCATTTTCATCTTAACATGTAAAATGTTCCTGAACTGTGCAATATGGTAGTCTTTTTTGACAAGATCTTCATGCCATAATTTATAATAGATATGGCAGAATAAATTTTTTTTTAAAAATCTCATTTTTATAGATGAAAGCAAGAAGTATTTACTGGGTAGTAAATGTTGAAGTATATAATACTAATACTGTATAAAATGGCCTCTTTCTTAATGAACAGGTTGATAATGATAAGGGTTTTTTTTGTTTTTTTTTTTTAAGGCTGGTCAAGTGGATAAGGTTTTTATCATTAAGAAAAACAGAAAAATCTTATATTGTGAAATAATTTGCATTTAAAAAGGAATCACAGAAAGTTTCTTTTGCTTAGTGAGCCTTCTTAGTCTTTTTAATATATGTTCTGGTTTATTAAAATTTGATTTACATGTAATAAGTTTGAAGCTTTCTTTGGCATTTTAATGAAGTATAAAATTAAAAGCTTTTTATGCTGTTAGCCATAATTCCTATTCATAGATACTGAGAAAAGAATTTCTTGCTCTATTATTTACTGAGTTGATGTTTGCAAAATAACAATATTTTTGG